GAGTCCATTCAGAAAGGCAATACATCAGCTTCAACAAATTCTTAAAATTACCTTGAAATCACTACAGTATAACGATGATGATGATGATGAGACAGAGTGAATCCAGTTTAAACACATCTGGCATCACTGATTAAAATCAGCGTAAAATGGACTGGGGGTGAGATCATTTGATATTTTCACATCCTGTCAAAGGACTGTACCCTGAGCCAGATGAATCCTTTCACACCCTCCTACACCCTGTTCTTTTGAGATTAATAAAAATACTGCATTTCATCTACATCTAGGTCTCTCATGTGATATCTTCCTTTAAGGTTCTCCAGAGAACATATTGCTTTGTTTCTGATGTATAAAAGCTACATTCCCCGACCATCCCACATGAAAGAAGGTTTGTCAGAGTACAGCTAGCGTCATAATTCCAATCATCTTCAATCTCCTTGTATAATATGCTTTCAAGCGCTTGATTTTTGTTGTGCATTGTTCGTTCAAGATGGGGCATTCTGCGTGGAACACTGCATCTGTTTCATGCAACAATGAAACTCTGTACCCAGAGACAATTCCAATTTGTTTCAACGACGCTTTCTCAACTGTACGTGTGTGTGTGTATGATGACATCGAAAGGACTGAACAAAATTGCCGGTACTACCCCAGTAAATGACGGAAACGCAAAATGAGTCACGTGAGACGACGTCCGAGGCCTCAGGAACACGAAGCATATTACCGGTGGTTCATAAATGACGCATATCAGGTGTTGATAACCCCACTTCCGGTTCCGCTTTGTGATCGCTTCCCGGATGCGAGACGCCAGGCTTCAAGAGAAACGTGAAGAACAATCGATACGCGCAGAGTAGTTGGAGCAGAGTTGTGAAACAACACAGCAGAATGATTTCACAGCCCGCTTCTTCCGTTGAAGGCGGAGTGAGCTTACGCGAAACTACATTCAAATTCTACAAGAAAACGGTTACGCCTGGCGGGGAACAGAGCAAACATCTCGATCGCGTAAGCCGATTCCGACGTCAGCGTCAGGATACCTGAGGCGACCCAGGTCTCAAGTACGTTATCTGGCAAACAGGCAAGGGAATAGATTTCTGCAACAAGATTCATATTCACTGTCCTAGCAATTACAAGAGGAATATAAATCCTCGTTACGTAAACTGTCTCCTGCAAAAACAAGACTAGTGTGTACCTGTATTTATGTACGTCTCTTACCGGACGACTTTCTACTGTTTCATAATGAATACTATCGACATTTGACTTTCTGCGCCATTTTCGAATTATTTATTGCACAAAAACGTACCCACTGATTCAACAAACTGAAAACGATAATAATATTACCATTAACTGTCCAAACAGGAGCTATTTGTAAATTTCCATTGTCGACACAGATGAAACAATTCGGGAATAAAGAGTTCACGATTCGAAGAACAGTTAATGCATCAAATGATTTTCCAGTGACATTATTTGCAAGTAAATTCTTCGATTTGATGTTTCGGGTTGTCCTATTACCGGAATAATATGTCAATTCAAAATCTGCAGTTTTACCACTTATTCCAGACTTCATCCTTTAAAAAAAAATCGTGAAAATTTACGGTATTATTTCGTGTCCAACAAACAGCAACGCTTATGAGTGAATTATTTCCTTCTTCACGCTCTGGCGCGAGCGAAAACAGCAGACCACATCCGGCTGTCGTGCAACGGGACCCCAGATAACACTGTCGAAACATTTCGCAACAATGGGAATAAGATTACCACCGTTGTAACACGCTGCTAAGCAACAATGACCTCAGATCTCATCAGTGCAACAATGACCTTCGTGTCGTGGAGTGAAGAACGCCTTTGTAATGTCAGCGTTCTCCAATCTCGTCAGTGTACACATCCGATCTAGCAGTTAGTGTTTTCAGACCGGACGCTAGAATGGTCGGTTCCCTGTCCTTGATCCGACAAACAGCGGGCGGGGGCGGTCCAAACTGGCACGAGAATGGACCAATTTAAATAATGAGGAACTTCACAATTTGTAATCTTCACATAAATGGTGATCAGACGATTAAATCAAGAGAGATTTGGTTGTGCGGGGCATGAAGTATACTTTAGGGGAAACAGACAAAAGAATGCGAGAGTTTAATACCGAAACTGACCCTTAAGGACACAAACTGGAATTTGTGAAGACGCAGCTGAACCTCTCGGACCTCACGAGAAAACAATTGAGATAAACGTAAAATTAAATTATCTATTTCTCCTTCAGTTTAAAATAACAAAATATCAAAACAAACTCCACGACGTAACCCTCGAGATCTTTCAACAATTACAACTTCCGAATTAAAGTCGAAACATTTTGGATGATGGCACCAGCCAATCCGCCAGATTTTTCGTGGCCTTTCTCAGTCCCTCCTTCATTTCGTTCCACGCTACAAACGGAGCTGTTAAATAAACTACAAACACACAAATAATCAGTCTGCAAACCTAATTAGTCCACGTCCAATCGATATATATCGATACTGCTCGGCCTGAGACAATTCTGTAGCACTGATGCGTACAAACGCAGACTAACAAAAACAAGTGTTCATGGAAATGCGATAATTATTACGTGTGGTCTCTTCTGACGTTACCATTGCAACATTACTATTTGTACTGCGCTAAATCGTATAGATTCGTTTATTAACATAAAAAGTAATTATTTTAATTTTAATATATTGCTTTGTTAGACTTTTCAACCGTTAATCTTGACGGGTAATTTTATAGTGTTTTGATGTTAAAAGTTGATTGATGTCTTCGTATGCATTAAAATCCACGAAATTTTACAAAAATGTTACAGTGGAACCACGGTTCCGGAGAATTTGACGTAAATACGTCTATACGGAAAGGAAGTTTATATATTGGCTTTATTCTAAATATTTCCTTTATACATGCTTTACAATTGAGATAAGTTTGATTAAGACTTTGCTTATTTAACTTGAATTAGTTACGCTTAAGATGGGTCTGTGGTGGCTGAATGTAATGTAAAGTAATGTAATGTTTTATAGGTAACAACAATTCCGAGTAAACACGACGTTCCCTAGGTAACCATCTTACACTTTTTCCGAATGACCCTTCCTTATAGACGTATTTACGTCAAAAAAAACCCAAACTGAACATTCTGAACTAAAAATAATGCATAACCACGCTTAAATTTTGTCAGAACTCCCCCTCACTGTCCGCCACTGGTACTTGGACGCAAAGTTCAAAATTATTTGTTCCCAAAAATAATACGAAAAGAGTAAACTCAGTTATGAAATAATTCCCCCGAGAATCTGGGAGGCGGCAACCCTGAGCGTTCCTTCGTCTGGCAACGCAAAGCATTTCTTTTCCTTTCTTTTTATCAGAATTGCGAAATGGCGCCGGATGCACCCAGTTGATGAACCTTCACCCCACAAGGTCACCGGCCCACGGCGTGATCATCAGATAATCGGAATGTCATTTCCTGTCCCAGTAAACGCCTAGTCCGGCGTTTTCTTGCCGAGAGCCTACACGTCGCATTTCGCTTCACTTCGCTTCCGATCCAAACTTCGACAACTCGGAAGAATCAGGCGTAGATGGGAGGATAATATTAAAATGGACATTACGAAAACAGGGTTACAGGGTATGGAATGGTTTCATCTGGCTGAAGACAAGGGCCGTACGCGGCGGACTCTTGTAAATACCGTAATGAACCTTAGGATTCCACAAAACACACGTAATTTCCTGACGAGACTGTACTTGTAGCTTCTGCGTAAGCACCAAAGATGTTTAAGGAGCGTGAAGGAAGTTCCACGCATTCCAAGATTTATCGTAGCGGCTGCTAAACATAATCCTCTAAAGCCCAGTGGTAACTATACGTACCACCTACTTTAACAATTAGTAACTCTGCATTTCATATTTTTATGCATCTTATGATTGCCAATGCAAACAGCGACTACTTTCTTAAACAGCGTTAACCATTTGATCTTTGTAATGGTGAAGTGTGGTGTTTACTTCGCGGTACGGACTGTATTATTAAATAATATTTAGACGAGTTTCGGCTTCGAAGGGTTAATTAATTATCAGAATAAACAGCGATTATTCCCTTAAACAGCGTTAACCAGCTGATCTCTGTAACGGTGAAGCGCTGTGTTTTCTTCGCGGTACGGGCCGAATTCTTAAATATTATTTAGACGAGCTTTGACTTCAAAGGGATAATGCCAGAATATGAGCATCCAACGTGGGCACACAAACACGATTTACAACACGCAACTCTCGGATTGGACAGCGACCGGAGTCAACATTAAAATACAAACTGTGGCAACGAACCACGCGCAGAAGGGAGAACAGCGAATTTCCGGAATATCGTGTATTTCACGAGCCACAACCGTGGTGCAATCAACCTAGACAGTTCTGCTTGCAGACCGATGTTTTGTTGTTGTTGGTTTTGCATTCACTTACGTAACAAATAACAACGACGGCGCCTTGAATGAGCATTGCGAAACAGTTAAACAGGCAGAGAGACAGACAGACAGCAACTCCGAACATTCTAGCAATCGCCGTCGCAAGTGTCTGACAATTCATCAATTGCATGAGTACTACAGCACTCAATAGAAATAATACGAATTATGAATTTGTGAGGATGAAGAAGGAAGTGATCGCTGTCTGCCTAGGAAGTTCCAGTGCAATCCCAAAGCGACCGTCCCGACAGCTTGGGACCTGAGCGGTAGTTACGTCCTGTTCTGAAAACATCCGCTCCTTATTTAGGACCCGGGGCCTAACAGGTAGAAACAGAGGTCATCCGGCGATTACAAATTTTTTCAATCGCACGCTGCGTTAAGCCTCTTTTCTCAAAAAACTGTTTTTCAGGTTACAATCCGAAATCCTGTAGAATTGGTTTCTGATTCTCACGACGAGGAGTCTGAAGTTGGCTGGATGTCCTGTGTGGGATGATGTACGGGGAC